CCAGTCCACACGGAACCGGCTTAGGTGGAACAAGCAGACGAGTTCCGAATACCATTTAAAGGCATGAAGATACATGCTACAAATGACTTGAATTATCCTACATAAATTTTTTGCATGCTTCAGACTTGGTGCCTAATTTGAATAGACCTACTCTAGCGAGTCTTCCCCGCTTTCCAAACAAACCCAACCCAAATGATCTAAAAACATGAATAAAAACCTGCTACGTTTATACAAACATTATCTTTTCTATCAAGAACTTTGTACCAAAGATCTTAGGTATGATATATATACATATATGCAAAATATTATTAAATAACAAATAATATGTTGATTTGAGCAAAATTTAACCATAAATATCCAGCCAAATAATAAAATGACAACTTTAAATACTATAGAAACTGACATTAATAGATTTGAGCAGAATTTAAATATAACTTAGCCTAAATCCTACCAAATAAAAAAATAAAAGCTTTAAATCCTATAAAAAAGTTTTAAGATAACTTTTTTTAATATTTTATTAATTTGATATTTAATTAATTAATAATTAATTGTAATATTAATATATAAATCTTAAAAAGTATAATTATAATTTATAATTTGAAATTGATAACATATTAATAAAATGGCGCGCACTATTTGCGCCTTTTGCTATGCACCATGTGCCACTTTCCATCCATAGAGCAAATAGTGCATGCCATTTTGAGAGCCGAGCCATGCTTTTATTGATTATCACCGTAGAAAGGTATGGGCGTACTTAAAACACAAGTCAGAGGTGTTTGATATTTTCAAGAAGTGCAAGTTCATGGTTGAAACTAAAACATATTTAAAGCTCGAGTGTCTCTGATCAAATAATGGTGGCGAGTATCATGATAAGAAATGGAGTAATGCTTTGAATATGAACAAGCATAAGTTCACTGTTCCAAGAAAACCTGATGCAGGCAAACTAGAAAGAAAGAGCCAAAAGAGGAGAACACTAGGACTAGAACAAAACTCAATACGAACTAGAATGCTGACATCCAAACAAAAACATTAAGACAAATAAAAGCTGAACAAACGAAACAAAATTTAAAAATTAAAACACTATCCTCAGAACAACCGTCAAGCAGTTTCCTCACATGCAACGAAAATTAGGTAAAATAAGATAAGAGCTTAGGGCTTACAAACCAAGAGTCCACCACAACAACAAGGTCCAATCATCCAGCAAAACCCCTCCGACAAATGTCACCAAATCAGCCAACAAACACTTTCTATAGCTCAAGAAGAAGGATACAAGTGGAGTGGAACTTGCGAAGAGAAGAAGAGGTTAGAAGCCCAAGACGAAATAGTGGAGAAGAAGAGAGAAACGGAACAAGCTCTCAAGCTTTTCCAAGGAAGAAGAAACCCTCAGGTTTTTGTAGAGACTTTGCTCCAATATTCAACAACCCCTCATGCTTCAAAACATCTCCAATTTATAAGAGAAAAGGGGGCAACCAAACAGTCATTCCACCTCCAACCAAACCAATAAGATAATAAAAGGCCAGAAGTTATTCCAGAACATCACCCAAAAAAGGACACACAAAAACCGGGAAAAGCAGCCACGGGATAAGCAACCAGGGGAGGAACCGAAGGGGCAAAGTAGCCACGGGACAAGCAGCTAGGGGAGGAACCGAAGGGGCAGCACAGGGAACGAAACTAGCAACCAGGGGAATCGGAACAGGCTACAGGAAGGAGAACCAGGAGGGAAAAAATCGAAGAGACACAGGAAAAGGAAAAGGCAAAGATTCCACTCCACATAATGAGCTATCAAGTGGTAAAACTTTTCATAATAATGAGCTAGAACATCAGCTCCAGCAATTATGAGCTAGAACCAAGTAGCTCCCAAAGAACACAACCCAAACCCGAGCAGCCAAGGCCCAACCCGAGAAGCAACAGTAGCCCAAAAGACCAAAGAACCCAAGTAGCTAGCACACCCACGGTTTGCCATGCCAAAGCACTACCTACTCATGATCATTGAATGTTTTCTATCATAGGATAATATAAAAAAACAAAAAAAATATAATATTCAAATTACAATAAAAACGAAAATAAACTGAAATTTGCATGCATCAACACCATAGCTGAATGGTTTTGCAAAGCGCATAAACAAAACTATCTCTGTGCGTGCTAGAAGCATGGGGCTGTATGTTGGTCTACCCAAACATTTTTTGGCAGAAGTAATGCATATTGATGTATATATGATCAATCTTGGACAATTGATTTCTCTGAATAAGGGGTTACCTAAGGAAGCTTGGAGTGGCAATGAGGTTAGTTTATCTCACCTCAAAGTTTTTGATTGTTCATATTAATGCATGATCTAAGAGTAAGCTTAATCCAAAATCAATTAAGTGTATATTTATTGGATATGGCTCATATGAGTTTGATTATAAATTCTAGGATTATCATAATCAAAAGTTCATCAGAAGCAGGGACGTTAAATTCAATAGAAATGAAATGAACACGAATAGAAATGGGACTCTTGTAGATTCTCCCAAATATGTTGAGATTCAGAATGACGATGATCAATAAGATAAAACTAATGAAGCACAGAAGGTTTCTCAGACACCTGCAACTAAAGGTATGAGATTCAACAGAATCTCAAAGCCAACATAAAATTATTCTCTTTTCTTATACTATATATTGCTAATAGATGGTGTTGAACAAGAATGCTATGATGAGACTATCAAATTGATGATACAATGAAGTGGGAGAAAGCCATAGATGATGAGATACATTCACTTGAGTTAAATCAGACTTGGGAGTTGACAGAGCTACCAGATGGAAAGAAAGCACTGCAAAATAAATGGGCTTAAAGGATGAAAGAAAAACCTGATAGTAAAAAGTGCTATAAGGCTAGACCTGTGGTTAAAGGTTTTCAGCAGAAGTAATGAGTGAACTACACTGAAATTTTCCCTCAAGTGATAAAGATGACTATAATCAGAGTTGTGATGAACATAGTAACAATGAAGAATTTATAACTAGAGCAGCTAGATGTAAAGACAATATTTCTTCATGGTGATCTTAAAGAAGAGTAATTCATGATGCAACCTCAGAGAGATATGGTCATAGATAAACAAGATTTGATGTGTAAACTCTAAAAGAGTCTACATGGGCTAAAGTAGGTACCAAGACAGTGGTATAAGAGATTTGACAGGATTATGTCAGATAATGGGTACACGAAGTGCCAGACAGATCAATGTTATTTTTTTAATATTTTGAAAACTATTATACTATTCTACTTTTGTATGTGGATGACATGCCGATTACAAGATCAGATATGAAGAAGATAAGATGTTTGAATGAGCAGTTATCGAAGTAGTTTGAAATGAAAGAATCAGGTCCAGAAAAAAAAATTTGATACGAGAATCAACATGGATATAAACGGAGGTATATTAAAGTTGTTTCAAGCATAATATGCTGAAAAGGTGCTGCAAAGATTCAACATTAGTGAGGCAAAGTCAATCTTCACTCCCTTGGCTAGTCATTCTCAGCTATATAAGGAACAATTGCCTAAATTTGAAGCTGAATCAGAAAAGATGGAGATGACTCTGTATGCTTCAACAGTTGAAAGATTGATGTATGCTATGAACCATACGAAACCAGATATAACATATGGAATGAGAGTAGTCATCAGACTTATGAATAACCCAGACAAACTTTATCGTGAGGCAAACAAGTGAATTGTCGGGTACTTGAGAGGATCAATTGATAAAGCTCTTTGCTTTGGAGATGCAGGCCTATCTACAAGGGTATATAGATTATGATCTTGCTAGAGATCTTGATGGTAGGAGAAGCATGATTGGTTATATATTCACTTTGGAAAGACTGCAGTGAGTTGAGTTTTCAAGTTATAGAAGATTGTTGCGCTCTCAATCATAGAAGCTGAAAATATTGCTATCACCGAGACTAGCAAGGAGATGATATTGTTGCAAAATTTATTGGCAGAACTTGACAAAGGGAAAATGAATGGGAATTTGCATAGTGATGGCATGAGTGTTATTCATCTAGCTACGAATATTGCACTCCATGATAAGATGAAGCACATCCAACAAAGGTATCATTTTATTAGATCACTTTTGGAAGATAGTTATCTTTGGAGAAGGTACACACAACCCACAATCCAGCTGACTTGCTGACAAAGACAATGACAGTTGATAAACTAAAGCTATATGTAGCTTCAATCAGTTACATGAAGGATGAGAGCGTGTGTGAGCCACATTACAGGTATTATGATTGTTGTTATAGATCGGGAGAAGGATTGATTGTAATTAGTTTTCAAGTGGGAGATCGTTAGTTATGTCTAGTATCTAATTATGTTGATCAATCGTGTTATACTGTTTACTTAGACCTCAATTCAATCCGTTGAGCTCACTAGGGGGTTGTAGGAGATCCTCCCCTTGCTTGGGTTCGGGTGTACCCAGTGTAGTGTACCGGAGGGCGCTGCATAGTTTGCTTGGAGAAAAAATAGAGAGAAAAGCACTGGGCGCCATGGCGCTCCAGTTTCAATATTGCGACATTGTCATGCAGACAGGGAAAGAGAGTTGAGCACTGCGACACTCCAAATCTACCATCTACAAGGTTGGCTGAACATTTTTCCTTTTTGTTTTTCATTAAGGGTTTCGTACCTTGGTGGTTGTATTGTATCTCTTGATTAGTTCTAAGTTGAGAACGGTGCAAGAGAGAAGAGAAGTAAGGAGAGAGTGACAAAGAAAAGAGATCTGTATTATTTCTCCCAAATTTTAATAATGAATTTCTTGGTGTGGTGTGGTCCATGGTTTTTCCCCGGTTTCGAGTTTTTTCACATTAAATCCTGACGTTCTTTATTTTCCGTTGCATTTTCTATTTCTAATTTATTTCACTTCATTGTTTTACTTTCCCAAATAAATCTCATAGTTTTTCATCAGTTCACATGTATATATATAGTCGCACAAACAAGATAAATATTTTAACATGCCTTGTTTTTCAGAGGAATAGGATTAACTCACCGTAGATTCAGAATTTATCTTTTTCTTTTGACCATTAGAATTTGACTCACGGGAAATAGAAGAGATCTTAGTAGAACCACTATGCTTCTCCTCCCTCACTTGGTTGAATATGTAACTGTAGCTGTCAGCTGATGAAGGATCCGACACATCCCATTCACCAAATTTTGGTACAGCTGAGCCTTTATCAATCTGTTTGAATCAAAGTGAGATCAAATGTGAGCTTATAATATCACAAGCTATGCAATTTTTGCTAATATGTGAATATGAGATAGAAAAAAAAGGATGGCAATTTACCGAGTAATCACTTTGGTCATTGGGCTTCATTTTAGTTCTTCCTGGAGTGTTGGGAGCTAGTCCATGCTTATCTGATGAGGATCTCCTTTCTCTTGAAGGAGAAGAAACGGCACCTTTGCTTGAAGATCTGTAACTAAGATGAGGATGAATAGGGGAGCGCTCAATGCTATGCTCTAATTCGCCATTACTATGGTTTGGCTTCCTCTGGGGATGACCCAAATTTCCTTGATCGTGACGCTTGTTGGGTGAACCTGAGACATGCTTGTGAGTTGCCAAGTTTTCTGTACTCAAGTATTTCACAGCTCGATTTACATCAACATCTTCTCGACTCTTATGTCGCTCATGTTTCACCCTTGCAGATACTTGACTGGATGGTGCTCGAGATGGATAGGTATGAAATGGAGGATCATCCTGGTGAAATGCTTCTGGGTTTTGAAGGGGATCATTTGGATTGATCAGCTTTGTTGCATTCTTTCCCTTCCGGGCATTCTCAAAATACTGAGTATATGGAACACTGCCATCATTTTCCCACTTTCCAAATTGGGGCACCCGAGAATTTTGCTGCAATTAAACGGATAAATCACATGATCACTACAACACAAACTAATTTGTGTTAGATAAAGAAACAAATGAGGGAAACAAAGGTAGAATTTGCAGATCCAAAATCCTATCAGACAGACAAAAAATTGTATATTTTTTTAAACGGAAAAATACAAGAAATTCACACGTAATGATAATATAAAGATCAATTCAATTAAAGAAATTCAACAAGAAATTAAAATCATCAAAGCCCATAGTGCAATTAGAATTAATATCACAATTAAAAAATTAGTTTTAGTCAGCTTACTAAAATCAATCACTTGCAAAACATATATACAAGCAGTGGAAATCTAAGTCTCACAACAAAACAAGGCAGTTACTTCCCTGAAAATAGGTAATCACTCCTTCACTACAATAGAAGAAATCAACACCCAGCAAAGCATTCAAAATTGAACAAACATAAAATTTTCATGAAGCAAAAAATGATGGAAAATCTGCAAATTTATAATCATCGGAAATGCCAAGCCCAAAAATGATCATTTGAGCAAGTTTAGTTTGATTTCATAGTCTTGTTTCTTTTTTCAAAATTAGTTATTTGTAACATGTTAGTTTAATTGAAATGTGTCTTTGACGATGTGCTCATAAAAATAGGATATATTCTCCTTTGGTATGATATTCCTAGTGTGGGTTGGCTCAAATCATTGGATGGGGCTTGCTACATGCTATCGGTTCTATAACTACTTGGATTTACCTGAGCACTCATGTGATGAATTACTTTGGCATGATTTGAAATTTACCTAGGGCAATTTTTTTTTTTATTTAGCAGGCGTGGATGGCTACACTTTAAGGAAGCTTTTGTATTTTTATGTCTTGTAGTGCTAGTCCAACATGTCTCGTAGCTTCTAGAAATTCGCTAGTATGTTGGTTTAATTTAGTTGAATCTATCGCTTTAACCTATATTGTCAACAGATTTTCCCGTTTAGGTGCTCTCCTGATAAATATTTTGAATTCACAATATTGAAATTTATAATTGAACATTTGCTGCTGAGTATTTCGTGTTGGATATAATTTAAGGATCAGAGTCTAGCACTTAGAGTTATCCAATCACTGGAAGTAGATGTTCATAAATAAACAATTAGAAGAATATATAAATAACAAAATGGGCCTAATAAAACTTCACTTTGTTGGATCTTGTATGCTTCGTTAGAGTTCTGCGAATTTGGTGAAAGAATAACTATCAATTTCTAGAGGAAGTAATCTTTTATACCACCATGGGGTATATATTTTCTACATGATGAATTATTTCTGCATTCTATTTTCTTAAAAAAATTTCATTATTGGTCTTTCCTAGCATTTAGATTTTAGATACAAGCTAAGTTTTTCAAATGAGGTAAGAAAATAATTTGAAATGTGAATTTCATGGCCTCATTTTTTAGATTTCTTGTATTTTACAATTTACATAAAAAAAGTAAGAATTTATTTAATTTTTTTGAACTTTTAAACAACAAATTTCTAATCTAAATTATTTACTTTTATACATCGTATCATCTAGTCGCCCTACATAAACAATGTTTCAATTACATGACTTAGATTCTCTTTTTATAATCATGCAATCCCTCAATAGGATGTCTCTCATCGATTTAGTTTAAATTCCAAAAGCAAGAGCCATAAAGGAAAAAACATCATTGGCTACTAGCTATATGTAGTATGGAGGGCCTAAGCACGGTAGGTTATAAACTCTTGTGGCACAATATTTTGGCCATTCAAAACCGATGGCATCATTAAATCAGCAAAAAAGGAAATAAATTATAACAGTAATGCATGGAGGACCTAAATTAAAGAAAAAAGAATGAGTATGTTTAAAATTAGACCCAGTCCAAGATAGCAATTAAAATGAAATCCCCAGTTCAATTCATACATATACATAAATGGAATAAAAAAAAAGATGAACAAAGGAATTTCCCACCTAGACTTATAATTAGAAAATACCCAACTAGAGCTTCACAATGCCATACTAATTATTTCTCACGAATTTGTCCCACATTTGATGCTTCCCATAATCTACATGTCACCAAAATACCACAAGTTCATCATTTATGGAGAACATTCCCACAATTATTCACCTTGCCATCTTAAGAATATTAGTATCATAGAATCTGGAAGTATTTCTTTATTTCCATGCAAAACACTCTGTTGGATCTATTTCTGCAGCAATTAATCATTACATAAAATAATAGAGGGTACTGACAAGCATTCACCCAAACAAAATAAAATGAAACTTTTCCTTCACATTTACTACACTTGGCATCACCAACCAATCTTTTAAATTCAGAGTCTATAATATTTTCAAGTCAGCATGCACATATCAATTACCTTTTGCCTAATTACCAACATTCATGTTAATCATTAGCTTATCTTTTAATGAGATTAGATTGAAAAGAATAACAAAGTGATAAAACATGCCCATGGCATCATATAGCTGCTTCTAACTTCTTTACAAGTTTTTCAACATTTGTAAACTCATCCAAATGAGTTTCCAAATATTCTGCATAAGTATATTGACAATCCAATCAACATACTTCTCTTCTCAAATAAAAATCAACTTCGATGAGCTTTTTAGTTTCTACAGGCCTATGCCCTTCAACTCGAATTGCATACACTTAGGTCACTGCTTGACAGATGACGTCTTAGGTTAAATAGCTAATTTATGAATTGTCGTTTCAAGGGATAAGTCAGGCATCTTTGTGTAGGTCTAGACAAAGTAATCCCCGTGTTCACATAACAATGCCTTGATTTCTTCAATTTTAACTTTAGGAAGTAAAGTGCAAATAAAAGTTAGATAAGGTCCTCCTCAAACTTGAAATTTATTTCTTCTTATTTGTTCATAGTAGTATGACCAAGATGCTCAAGTTCTTCGATTGTTGGCTTGGCTTCTATGCTTGAACCATTTGATGGGCTGACATCATAGAGCTCATCCTTTTCAGCATCTTGGACCTCTTCAATGTTTAGTGTATAAAAAGAATTTACTCAAGAATGGACAGTTGGACAAAACAAACTCTTTAGGTGGCATACTTGCCATGATTTAGCAATAATTACAGAAATGTTCCATTCTAGACCTCTTCAAGGAAATGAGTCATTTTTTCTGTGTGCACATCATGAAATATGTTAGTGAATTTATCTTCAAAGAATTAGAAAGATATAAGAGAATTTTTGTAGGCATTTTTCTTAAAATTTAAAGTGTCGAACAAGCTAGTCCGGCCTTGGAATCCCTCAAATTTATAAAATAAGAATCCCAATTCACAACCTCAAGGCTAAAAGGGTAAATAAAATATTATAACTCAATATTATAAACCTCAGAAAGGATAATCTACTAAAAGTGTTGAGGGACATGACTGATCACTAATGCACTCTTCAAAATTGGTGAACTAGCCGCCCTTACTAAAGAAACATACTGTGGTTTGCTCTTGAGGAAAGCCTTTGAAGTCAAGATTCAAGTATTTACCAGCATATTTACTGTTCCTCATTGGAGGTTTATAATTTTTTTGGGGTTAGAGAAGGATATTATCTTCTTCTACTTCAGTACCACTCCCCAAGTGAAATGTTTCACTTCAAATATTTGATCAGGATGTTGATTGTTTTGGAGGAGTCAGAGTTATTTTCTTTCTCCCTCTTTGCCTCTTGTTGACTCTCTTAGTCAACTAAATGATCTCTAAGCTACACAAATAAAAATGGCAACTCAACAAACTGTAATAAAACCAGCCAAGAGCTTCCCCAGCCATGGTCACCAGATAACTGCAGAGCTCATTAAATCGAAAAGTTGATATGAAAATCATTAAGGAACATTTGAAGCAGACCAGGAAACTCAAAATGATTATTATGGATTAAAAATGGCAAATCAGGATGCACCTAAATTAAGTTGCTTCCATTAAAAATTTCTTCTTTATTCATTAACATCAATTCATCGCTAAAGTATATGAAGTAAATTCAAGCTTTCTCATAAACATAGTATCAATTTCTCCATGCATCAATTTTCTGTTCCTCTGGACCTACTGCAATACTATAACCAAAAAGTTCTGCCACAAAAATGTTTGCAAAATCATTGCTCAGAGACGATAGAACTTAAAATAAAATTATATGGGTTTAAGATAAAGAGGGTAAAAAGAATGAAACAGAAAAAAAAAGCAGCAGCTATAACACAGCTTTTCCTGATTTATATTATTTAAACATCTTGAAAAACAGATTCAGACATGCCATTTAATTTTATAAATTGAAATAATTTTAGCTAAAATTTTGACAAACAAAATTTTAGAGACTTCAATAAATCCAAATATATTAATAAATCCCGTTTTTTCCCAGTTAATCCAAGTTATTAAATCCCACCATCCCAAGATTTAATGCATTTAAGGATTTCTCCTCACACAAATCTTAAATTCCAAAACAAATAACCTAACAGTTTAGTAAGATTTAATAAAACAAATAACCTAGCAGTTTAGTAAGATTTAATAGTTGTCATGACAAACGGATTTCAGATTTTAATCCTCTCAAGATTTACTAAATCCTACTTGTAGCCAAACAGCGCCAAAAGATAAAAACCACTGCCTCTGCCGAGCTTTTCATGACAATTCCATAACTGTAATTTAGAAAGGGGATGAAGCAGAAATTCTCTCACCATAAAGTACTTCATCTGCATATTCCAAGCCTACAGAAATATGACATATCATGACAAATTCCCATATCTAACAAAAGGCTCTTCCACAGGAAATAAATTATTACCCCTCGTCAAACCTAAACTTTCAAATTTTAAGCAGCTAAGAAAATCTAAAAAAACTAAACTACTTCATAGATTAAATCAATTTCAAAATTCATTAACAGGCAAAATATGAAAGGAGGCACAATTGAAAAGGCTCGCAAAAGATTCATTAACCGTACTAAAACTTTGATCCAACAAATTTAACAAGAACCAATTACACCCATATGAAAACGACAGAAACCTCACAATCCTTCGAGGAGGAGAAAGAGACGAACCAACAAACACTAAAATCATAAAATTAACTAAACCTAATTCCAAAATTTCGTGATTCATCAATCACAACACCTAAAATGGCAGCACAAGGCCGCCCTTTATGCCCAATAGCCCAGCTTCTCAATCCAAACACCAAAAGAAGAAAAAATCAACAAAGAAAACAAAACAGCAGAGGCAAAAAACAAAAAAACTCACTGCCATGGTATTCGCTCAGTTGCTCGGCACTAGTCAAACTTTCTCCTTTCCGGCGGAGAAGAAAGTCCTCTTACGAGGGGTTGAGCGAACACGAGGCGAAGAGAAATCGCATTGATGAGCACCAACTACTCAAGTTTTTACCTCAGAAATAACTCAAATAAGTAAGCAAGCTCCCAAAAATCGAAAGTTTGCCGCACCTCTCTCTCTCTCTGGAGAAATTTCCTTTCTCCTTTGGCCGATTGATAAAGCTGATAACGATTCAATCCAATTTTGCTTTAATTTAAACTAATTTAATGATGCCTCAAAATCGTTTGATCCCATCTCATCAATCCTCATAAATCAAAAGCTATAAATTGACTCCACACGGATAATTTATTGGTGCGGACCAGACTTCAATGGAAATAGGGGATTTACATGCATATTAATTTATTTAATGCAATTTATATATAAAACTTTAATATTATATTTATATCACTAATATAAAATTTTAATATCAAATATTTCATTTTTACCACCCATACCAGCCTATAAATTTTAATAGTTCATTACATGCAGTCATATTTATTATATGAGTGGTAGACATGTAATATTAAAATTTTAAATATTAGATATGTAAATAACATGAAATAAAATAGTATTTATGTAAATCTCCCATAAAAATATGTCAGGTGGGCAAAGAATTAAATATATTATAAAGTATTATTGTATATTATTGTGTATTATTATATATTAGCTTGTACACTACAATACACATCAAATATATACTAATACAAATCAATACACGTAAATATATACACAACAATACACAGCTAATTATACATTAACACCTAATAATATATAATAATATACTAATCCACGCATCATATTTTCATTGGAATCAGGATGTAGCTCTACGTTTGGTGCCTACACGTAATAATTTCTCATTATCTATACGACATCAATTTCAGTGAGACATTTTTTTTATTTTAATTAGAGACAAAATTGATCAAATTACTATACTATATAAATTGATGTAAAAATTGTGCATATTCTTATAGGCATATGCATTTTGATTCAATTTAAATTCGGATCAATTTAGATTTTTTTTTTTTATGTTAAATAATTGCTTCTCATTTATCTCTGTTTAAATTTTAAATTTGACCTAAGTGAAAATCAAATTAAATTGTTATGTGATATTCAATTTTGACTTCTTTCTTACATGTTGTGGTTCAATTAGGTGGATAAAAGGAGCAATTTTATTTTGCTTTTTTTTTTTGTGCTATTATAGTTTTTAAAAGTGGATTTTTTTATTCAAATTTTTGCAACATATAATATTTTATTCAAAACCCTTGGCCTAAATATATCTTCTTTTGGGCAAAATTTATCTACATAATACTCAAAATTATATAACATTGTAGGTGACTCATCATATAAATGAATTTCGAAAAACTATTAGGCTTGGCTAACTCACCTCAAAAGAGTTTGACTAAGAGGAGCTCGATTAAGACAGGCACCGGCCTTAGAAGCATTTTGGCTTGATGGGTCACTCACTTAGGATGGGTGAACACCGAATGAGATTGCCCCCATGAAAGTGCTATATTATATCACCAACTCAACTGTCTCGACTATATTTGCCTATTTAACACTTTGACTCGATAGATTATTCATCAGATACACTCACTTCATACTGGCAACAATCAGATCACGTATTATTTTAATATTTTCTTAGGTGTATTCTCTCATATAAACTTCCCAAGTCTATAAATATAAATTTGATTGGCATAATTTGGACACAATGCTAGTCTCCTTGTTGATATAGAATAATAAAATTCAATAGTTCTTCTTATTTGCTTGTCTCACTTCTTATTCCCTTACTTGCTCATCAAAATAATTAAAAAAAAAAAAAAGAAAGACGAAAGAACGGTGCAAATGAGATTAATCAACACGTTTATTTAACCGCTTCTATCAGAAAAATAGTTGAATTTAAAATATTTAGCTTACACGTCACGAGACAAATCAATGATTACTTGCTCATTAAACTCTAAACTTACGTCAGAGAATTAATGAAGACATATAAGAAGCCATTAGCGCATCCTTATTGAAAATTGATTTAAAATATTCTGAATTATTTTTTTTTTGTATGAGCAGATTATAAATGATGCAATTTAATCAAATATTTTTTGCTGAAATTTATAATTGCAATATATAAAATAAATAAAATTTATATTTATATTTAAGTTATTTATTTAGTATTCATATGTTTTATTGATTTAATAGTTAAAAACTTGGTATAATTTAAAATTTTAATTCAGTATAAAAATAAATAAATAAAATCAAGATTTTAAATAAAAATAAATTGATTCTATTTTATACAAATAATGCATATTCCTATATGTGATGAAATAACATTATAGCAAACATGCAAACATCTCCTCCATATTCTTAAAATCAGAGTAGACATATTTGCAAAGAAAGTTGTTTGTTTTGTTATAGAAATGATTATTATAATTTATTTGGGGCAATTTTATATATAACATAATATACTCATAAAATAATATTCAAATATTTCTATTTATAATAATGCCAAGAAAACCTTCAAGAGCATCATAAAATTATCAGTTTTATTTTCATATATATATATATTGTTGCGTGTTAGAAAATACGCGGCGGCAGAGTTTGTAAATTCGCGTCCGAGCGTTGCACGTAAGTTTAACACACAAAACAGAAAAAAGGAGTGAACACCAAGAGTTTTTTACGTGGAAAACCCAAAAATGGGAAAAACCACGGGGCCTCGCCCAGTTGTAAATTTCCACTAGTATTTTTGTAGATTACAAATGGCGGATTTAGTCCCACAAGTCGGGATAATCCAAATACAACTTGTTTCTTCCACGAAATTCACAAAATCCTGCGAATTCCCTGCGTTTCCTGAAAATCCGGCAGAGTTCCGGCGTCTTCCAGGCGGCAGGAAAAATCCGGGATCGGTGGTCGAAGGAGGGAGGAATCTCTCATTCTTCACTTTCTCCTTCTCCTTCTCTTCTTTCTTCTCGTCTCTTCACTTGAGTCCCTTTGGTGTAAAATGAGGGCTCTATTTATAGTTTTTCTGGAGTGGCATAGCCCGTAAATAGGCGTGAGATCAAGGGCGGAATTGGAGTGGGATTGGAATCGACGGGCCGATATCGAATCCTTTGATCATGCACCGTTCGTTTGGTCATTTGAAGCATTAATGATGTCGGTAATTCGATGATCTTGGGCTCGTTGGATTCGTCTCGTCGAGCCGTTCGATTCGAGTATAAACTCGTCAAAATTGGAAGACCGTTTGGTTACTCAAATTGCGGTTTGAATCTTCCAACAGCGCTTTGAACCTTGATTCGGACTCGATTTGGGCTCGGATTGTCGGTGATCTTGGTGTAACGTTGGGTTCGTATTTCCGAGACGCTGCAGCTTTTGACTGCTAAGCCGCTGGAATCGAAGTTCATATGCTCCACGAAATTAATTTTTGAAGTTTGTCAACAGTTTCTTGCCTCGATGATTCTTCTGCAATCGCCGTGATCAAGATGATTTTGTTGATGACGTTATCATATATGATTGTATGTTTGTTAATTTTTTTTAGTGTTATTTTAGTCAATGGTTGGTTGTATTTCTTTTTCATACAAATATGGATTCAGATCCTCTCCAATTACAAAACTAACTTCTCAAATTCTCTGCAATTGACCATTTAATTTATTTTAGATTATTCAAATTGAGTGTTTAAAAAGCAAATTACATGATGAGGATGAATAACTGTTCTCTAGCTGTAGACGTCCCCAATCCAAGCTGCACAATGAAGTAACATTAACTATATATATATATATATATATATATATATAATATTATATATATATATATTATATTTAGGGGAGAATTATTTTATGCGCGTCCACTAAATGGTCAAGAGGGAATCTAGAACGCACCACACTCATCCGGTACTGGCGTACACATAAAAAATGACGTGACTTATTCTCCGAATGTTTCTAACAGAACCAATTAAGCAATTGTGTATATATACCCTATGACAAAAAGTTTCAATTAATTTATGGTTAAAAATTAAAAATTAAAATTGACATTAAATATTATTATAGGCTAATTCTATTAAAATATTATTTTGTATACTTCCCGTTTTAAACCACGGCTTCAAAATTCTCATTAGCTTTCATTATATCGATGAGAATAATGCTATCATTTTTTGTGTTAGCGGAAATGCTATTCAATCTAAAATTTTATTTGGGACGATTTTTTTATTGCTTTTTAAATCAACTTTTTAGTAAAAAACTAAAAAAATGTATATTAAAAAGTTGTTTTAAGAAGCAGTAAAAAAAGCCGTCCCAAACGAAAACTAAAGCTTAGAATTAGACTTTTTGGTTTAAGCAAAATAATATCGATTCATAATGTTGGCATATATTTTCGTAAAGGCTGCATTAACAAATAAATTAAGATGAATAGCACATTTGCCCATGCTAAGAATTAACATAAAAAAAACAAAAAGTATGCTTTATTTCATATATTAAATTATTATTTTTTTTTTATGAAAAATTACATAAAATATAACCTGAAACCGGAAGCCAACAAAATTATCAAAATTATTGATACTGAAAATTTCACTAACAGACAGACATCCAAATAAAAACTGAAGAAAAAAAAAAACTCTTGATTTTGTAAGCTTATGCCTTATTTAGTAGTACTTTAACTTTATGATCATAATGGTCGAATATAATTATGTTCACATCTTAATGTTCCATGCATTGACGCAATTGTCTTTTCTATTTTATTTCCATACTCACCTGAACTTTTTGTCTGAACAATTTGACCTTAGCATGCAGCTCTTTTTGATCTGTTGATTAGAAACTTTGACTATCAATTTAGAGGTCTCGACTTCAAGTTTTACGTATACTATGAGTGCGTAATTTTGTCTTAATTAGCCTAAATATGCTACGATTCTAACAATAACTACTACAATAATGCAAATATTTTGTGATGCTTGTTATTACGCCCACATTAGTCATTGCATATATGGGTGGTAGACATGTAATATTAATATTTTAGGTATTAGATATGTAAATATCATAAAATATAGTGGTATGTATGTAAATCTCCCTATAAATAAAGGTGGAGGTTTCAGCTGCTTGGGAGAGAAAAACATCCAGTTTAGGGTTTAGGATCCTGATTATACTTTGAAAATTCTCTCTATTTGTTGCTTGATTCTTTCAGACTTAGCTTAATTCTCTCTCTCACATCCTGCTGTGGTTCTTTGTCTTATATAAGCTCCAAATTATTTTCTAACATGCAATAAAGGTAGCTTGGGAGTTTGA